AACCGTATGCCCTTCGGGCTTTGTAATGCACCTAGTACCTTTCAGCGTCTAATGCAGAGGATGTTTGGGGACCAGCAGTGCCAGTCTCTTCTTTTGTATTTGGATGACATCATTGTGTTTTCAGGTTCAGTCTCCCAGCACATTGAGCGCCTGGAAACCGTTCTTGCTCGGCTCCAGAGAGAAGGTCTGAAGGTAAAGCTTGACAAGTGTTCATTTTTCAAGCGACAGGTTAAATACTTGGGACACCTTATCTCAGATAAAGGTGTAGCTACAGACCCAGCCAAGACTGAAGCTGTGGCTAAATGGCCACGTCCCACACATGTTTCAGAGCTTCGCTCCTTTTTGGGCTTTGCAAGTTATTACAGGCGCTTTGTGGAGGGTTTTGCTAGGCTAGCGGGTCCGCTTCATAGGCTGGTGGCACAACAAGTGGGCACAAAGCCCAGGAAGGGGTCTGGCCAGGCTTTTCAATCTGCTTGGACATCAGAGTGTGAGGAGAGCTTTGAGGCCTTAAAAGTTAAATTAACATCTGCACCAGTGTTGGCATATGCTGATTTTTCATGTCCCTTCATTCTAGAGACTGATGCCAGTCACAGTGGACTTGGGGCAGTACTGTCACAGGAAACAGAGGATGGAGTGAGGCCCATTGCATATGCCAGTCGAGGTCTTACACCTTCGGAGCGTAACATGGCCAATTATAGCTCTATGAAGTTGGAGTTTCTGGCATTAAAATGGGCCATGACTGAGAAGTTCCGGGAGTATCTCTTGGGCCACCGGTGTATAGTTTACACAGATAACAACCCGTTGAGTTATCTTCAGTCGGCCAAGCTTGGTGCCATGGAGCACCGTTGGGTTGCGCAACTTGCTGCTTTTGATTTCGATATTAAGTATCGTTCTGGACGCAGCAATACTAATGCTGATGCGCTTTCCCGCCAGCCAACATCAGGAGCCAGCCTGGCAGAACTCTTGTCATGTACCTCTGTTCCAGAGGCTCTTCAGTGTGCCCCAATTCCTGCTCCATTGTCGGTAACCCAATCTATGGTGACTGTTTTGCCGTCTCATTCTGTGTCTGATCTTTGTGCTTTGCAGGAAGCTGATCCTCTCCTGAAGGACATTTTGGGTTTTTGGAGGAGGCAGGTTTATCCTACTCCTGAGGAGAGGCAGCGCTTTCCCAAATTATCCTTGGTTCTTTTGAGACAGTGGGGTCGTCTCGTGGAGAGAGATGGTGTGGTGTACCGTCGGGTCCATCGGTCAGATGGTGGTGAGGAGGTCTTACAGCTGGTTTTGCCGTCAGTTCTTAAACCGGATGTTCTGACTCAATTACATCAAGAGCATGGACACCAGGGTGTGGAGCGCACCACAGAGTTGGTACGGCAGCGCTGTTACTGGCCGGGGATGTCTAATGACATCAAACAGTGGGTACAAGAGTGTCAACGGTGCCAGGTTGCTAAAAATGTACCATCTAGCTCTGGCACTTTCATGAGTCATCTGTTGGCTTCTCAGCCAAACGAGATTGTTGCCATGGATTTTACCATGTTGGAGCCTTAGCAAAATGGCCTGGAAAATGTTCTTGTAGTTACTGATGTATTTAGTAAGTACACCATTGCTGTTCCAACTCGGGATCAGAAGGCAGCCACTGTTGCCCAGATTTTGCTCACTGAATGGTTCTTTAGATTTGGGATCCCAAGTCGCATTCATTCAGATCAGGGTCGGAGTTTTGAGAGTGCGTTAATTCAGCAGCTCTGTAACCTGTATGGGGTTAAAAAGTCGCGCACTACCCCTTACCACCCTGCTGGAAACGGGCAGTGTGAGCGCTTTAATCGAACACTTCATAATCTGCTGCGCACTTTACCAACATCTAGGAAGCGGGATTGGGCTTCCTGTCTTCCACAAGTACTCTTCTGTTATAACACTACCCCTCATCAGAGCACTGGCGAGTCTCCGTTTTTTCTTATGTTTGGCCGTAAACCTCAACTGCCTGTGGATTTCTTGTTGGGTCGCATTCGGGACCCTGCACCAGGTGAAGTGGTGGACTGGCTGGCTGAGCATCAGACCAGGTTAACTATGGCGTTCCGTCATGCTCAGGATCACTTGTTGGCAGCTGCAGGGCGTAGAAAAGAGCATCATGATCAGGGCATCCGGGAGGTTCCATTGCAGGAGGGACAGTTGGTTTACCTGCGCGATCATGGTGCTAGAGGTCGCCATAAAATCCAGGACCTCTTTAGCCCGGTTATCCATCAGGTCGTGAGAACTCCAACAGCTGGAGGGCCGGTTTATACTGTGGCGCCTGTGGGTGATTTGCAGAGAACTCGAAAGGTGCATCGTGACATGCTGAAAGCTCGGGTTGGGCCAGAGCCTACGCCAGTACCCCTGCAGTTAAAACCTACCTTTCCTTCAGGGGGACTGGATGACTCTTTGGAGGATGATTTGTGCTTATTGGTCCCCGATACTTCAGTACCATCCACCTCTGCAGCTCCACAGGTCGCTTCAGGACATGGTCACCCTGCTCAAACTTCTGGGACAGCTCCTCTACCCTTGCGTCGCACTGTTCGTTTTGGGGCTGGTCAGCACTCGAATGTCCATCACCTTCCTCGACCTGTGGGTCATACTGCAGGATCTAGTCAGCCAGTCTCCAACTCCCAGTTAGCAGTTTTTCGTCCTTGGTGCTGAGGTTTGTAGATTCATCGTCGGGGCGACGATGCAACACAGGGGGGTAGAATGTGGTGGGATGGTGTTCCACCCTCCCAACTACACACACCAGGTGTAGTGACTGATTGGGGGGCGGGGCAGATAGCTTTAAAGCTGAGCAGTCCGCTGCGAGGTGCGTGTGCTTTGTTTCCTTACCGTGTGTCGGCTGCCCAAGTGGCTGGTGTGCTCGATCCACTCATCCAAAATACGTTGCGCGGCTGGCGTTGGCGGCTGCAGTTGGAGGTTGGTGCGGCGAGCGGCTTCCGTCCGGCCCTCGCCTGCTGATCCGCTCCCTCCCTGGTCGGCTGTGTCACCACATCTGGGATTCTTCCGGAGTTGCAGCGCTTGGACGCTCCTGCTGTCTTGTCTGTCTTGCCGGTTTTGTTTGGGCCGCTCTCGGCGGAGCCTGCTGACGCTTGGGCTGGTGGAACGAGCGGGGCACGACTCCTCTGGCCCCGTGAAAAGACATTAGAAGTCGGACAACGACAGTTTGTCCCATCGTTTGCAGTGGTTGTGTTCTTTTCTTTGCCGTTTGTTTGCTTATTATTTAAATTACTAATTTGTTTGCTTTCCTTTGTTTTGATTTACTAATTTGTTTTCTTTTGCATTGCATGATTTGTTTGTTCATTCATTTTTTTGGGAATAATTTAAATTGTCCTCTTTTTTGATGCCTTTTCCTTCTAGGGGCTGAGTAGTGGGCCCGAGGCCATGTTTTAAAAGAAAAATGTTTTAATGAAATTTGTTAATAAATAATTGGAGACTACTCCGTGCTCTGGTGCGTCTTGCCTAAAAAGATCTACCTCCTTTACTGGTCACAAAAGGTTTGCGTGTATAAAAACGTGAGCTATTTCACTGCGCATGCTAAAAAATGTACAAACTGATCTATCAACAGCGTGCTAAAAGGATTTGGTCTTTAAAACGTGCTAAATAGCGCCTCTTATCCATTTAGTACTTTTTCTGCAATGAATATGCAATATGGGGCGTTTACACGCAAAAGTGCGTCTTGTGGGCGGAGAACATGTAAATATATTAATTTAGCACTCGCAAAGTGTTTATCAAACCTGAAAGCAATTTTGCTAACGGTATCTGACTCTATATTTAACACGTTTCATAAGAAGGTGCAAATGGTCTGTATGCGTAATTGCGCACACATGGCAGCAGTTATTGTCGCAAGAAGGAGACATCGAAATGAAGCAAGGAGACGCAGAGAACGCATTTTTTCACTCCGTGTGAATATTTTTGGAATGAACGAGGAAACGATCATCAAAACATATCGTTTATCCAGCATTGCCATTTTGGAGCTGTTGGGGGAACTCCGAATGGATTTGGAGCCAGCCACAAGGAGGACCCACGCAATACTAGATATCACAAAACTCCTTGCAACATTGCACTTTTTTGCATCTGGGTCATTCCAGCGTACGGTTGCAGCGAGAGCTGGGATCTCCCTATCTCATTTTTCAGAAGTGCTGTCCGACGTTCTAAATGCCATGTCGCTCTGACGCCCCCCCTTTTTTTGGGAGGGGGTGGGGGTGTCACCGTAAGATTTAAATTTCTTAATGCACTAGTTTGTACAAACTACAAACTACTTTGCCGCAAACCACAAAACGCGCTAAACCATCATTTAAATAGGGCGTCTCCAACAGTTTTGCACCTGCCACCAGTTACGCAATCACTCTTTTAAATCACCCGCAAACCATGGTTCAGCCCCTCGCGCAAAATTCCAGTTTTCGGGCGCAAATTACTGCACGCAAAATTGGATCTTGATAAATCCGGCCCTAAATGTCTGAATAAAAACTGAAATAAAAGTCTCCAATTTCTGTTTCAAGCATTTTCAATAAATTTTACAAATTGAATATAAACAATCTTACCTTCTTCGCTTGTTTGTTGGATAATCTAAACCAGCTGAAAGAATAAAAATAAAGTGAACAAACATGAAGCAGAGACCAGCAGGTCTGCAGCTCAAAGAATCAACTCATAGAGATGAGTCTCACCTCTGAAAGATGCAGACTGCACTGCAGAGCATTATGATCCCCAGGATCTTCAATATAGCATAGAGACTGACTCCTGGCACTGGATTAAAGAAATGTTTGATAGATGTGGGATTTTTATGCAAAGAATAAAAATGAAACATTGAGAGAACAACTGGGACTCACTTGCAATAATTTTTAGCTTAAAATATTTTATAATTGAATGATTCAACAACTCAGCTTTTGAACTGTTTTCAAGATTTAACACAAAATGCCCTTAGATTAGATACATTAAACTTTCTGGGCCTATAAATGTGGATTCATTAAAAACCAAGAGTTACAATTTACCTTCAGTATTAAGTAGAATCACTGCTGATCTCTGAGTCCCCAGATCATTTGTAGCCTCACAGTAATACTCTCCTCCCTCAGTAACATTGAAGCTGTAAACCTGCCCCACAGATACATTAATGGCTCCATGTTTGCTGTTCCTGAACCAGGTGAAGCTGGCAGGAGGCTTGGCTCTGCTGGAGCAGTTCAGTTCCACCCAGCTACCTGCTGACACCAAACCTGATGGACTGATGGATGCTGAGGTGTCTTTAGGAGCATCTGAGGAAAATGGGACACACATTAACTTTATTGATCAGAAACAGCTGAACCATGACGTGCTGACAGGATCACTAACATGAAACACTGAGAGTCACTTCTGTCTCTGCTGTCTTGTTTCCTCCATTCACAGGATATCTGGCAGAACAGCTGATGTTGTATCCATCATGTGTGTCTGACAAAGTGATGGTCTCCTGGATTTTAGTTGTAAAGGTTCCATCTGAGTTTTTCTCTGTTTGTCTCTTAGAGTCTTGTTGGAGATTCCAGGTGAGTTCAGGAGGTGAGTGTGGACAGGGAGTCACAGCTGAGCAGCTTATAGTGACAGACTGATGCTCCTTCAGATCACCAACAGGGATATTAATGCTGGGACTCCACGGAGAATCTGGGAATCCAAATCAGAAAATTAAATGTGTTTAATAGTGGACTGCTAGTAAGTTAAGCTATTTATATATCATATTTTTTCAGACACAGAAGAAAATTTAAAATATTTTGATTGTGTGAAGCATTTTGGCAATATTTGATTTAAAGGAGAAGTTCGGTTTTTTACACTTTAAGCCCATTTTCTGTAGTGTCCAGGATGAAATCGAATGATCGACACCAAAAGTTTGACAATTGCTCCTGTCTCTGCTTTTTGGCTCATTTAGAATCAACCCCTGGCTGCTTCATAATGGCTGCCATAGTGCATGTCGGATAATGTCCTTAAAACAACCTTAAACGTTCTTTTTTTTAAATATGCTACTCACCGTGTCGTCAGCGCTGTTCAATGACGTTCCAAAAAAAGTTTCGTAAAGAAAAAACGTTCCTGTAGTGTTTTATTTAGCATTTTGTAAATCCCATTGAGTTCTGTTGGAATAGTCAATATTCCGCTGCCACCGGAAACGGAAATGGGGCCTGTTTACACAGTTGTAGTCTTTTCGCTTCACTCTGTGTACTCCGACGTCGAGGTGCTAACGTCTCTGTTAAACACTTTAAAAAACTCTGAAAATGGAATACGAAAGGTGGATTCTTGATTCTCGACGTCGGAGTACACAGAGTGAAGCGAAAAGACTACAACTGTGTAAACAGGCCCCATTTCCGTTTCCGGTGGCAGCGGAATATTGACTATTCCAGCAGAACTCAATGGGATTTACAAAATGCTAAATAAAACACTACAGGAACGTTTTTTCTTTACGAAACTTTTTTTGGAACGTCATTGAACAGCGCTGACGACCCGGTGAGTAGCATATTTTAAAAAAAGAACGTTTAAGGTTGTTTTAAGGACATTATCCAACATGCACTATGGCAGCCATTATGAAGCAGCCAGGGGTTGATTCTAAATGAGCCAAAAAGCAGAGACAGGAGCAATTGTCAAACTTTTGGTGTCGATCATTCGATTTCATCCTGGACACTACAGAAAATGGGCTTAAAGTGTAAAAAACCGAACTTCTCCTTTAATGTTCTATTAACTTTGTCTAATTAGATCATTAAAACATTAAGACAAGCGAAGCTGAGCAGCTTATAGTGACAGACTGATGCTCCTTCAGATCACCAACAGAGATATTAATGCTGGGACTCCAAGGAGAATCTGGAAGTTATCATTAGACATTGAAAAAATACATATTTTGTCAAGGTTTATAATGCAAATAAGAAATTGGTAAAATTATTCCTATAAAGTCTTTATTAATTAAGTAACAGTCTGGTTTTATGAGATATATTTTAGTACTTAATCATTTTTTACATTCATTAAGCTTTATATTTCACTTTTTCAATGCAGAAAACAGAAAATTTCGAAAACTATTTAAATTGTTTTAACTTTCGACCAAGTTTCTTTGATAGTTGATGTCAGAGTTCTCTCCTTTGTTAAGGGTTTGTTTTTAAGTTTTTAGTTTCACTGTAATTTTTTGTCTCCTTAGTTGTTTTCTGGCAGTGTTGTTTTATGTGTTGCTCTCTGTTGCCCCTTGTGCCAGTCTCCTCTCCCCTAGCTTCTAGTTGCTTCCATCCACACCTGCTCCTTGTCAGCTTATTAGACCAGTCTTTGTTCAGTCTTCCATTTATACTCCTCTTGGGCAGTTTCTCTTTTCTGGTTCCTCGTCGTTAATTGACTCCTTATATGTGTTTTCCCCTGACGTCTCCTGGTTTTTGGTTTCCTGTATTTTGTTCTTGGATGTTGTTTCTGTTGCCTTTTCCGATCAAATCAGCTAAAACTCATCTCTGCATTTGGGTCCTGAACCAATAACCACCCTACCTCGACAGTTGATGCCAATAAGTACTAACTTCATTTATATAGCTCCTTTTGAGATATAGATCTAGATCACATTGTTAAAAAGAAAACTCAAGACTATCGACTGATTCTGTGAATAACAATACATATATTTATCTAATTTAATTTCACATTTACTGTGTATAATGTGAAATCTTCAAGAAGATTTTTATTTCCTGAAAAGAGAGAAACTAAACATAATCCTGCCTACAGAAGATCTCTAAAAGATTTTCTCAACTGAAAGTTTTCCAATATTACAGCTACATCAAAATAAAAAATAAAAAACATAATTTCAAGCAGAAACCCGTCTCTGGGAAATAAAAAAACAAACCAGGTTATCTCGTAGGAAGGGTAAATTAGTGTGTAATAAACAAGTGAATATTACTTAATATAATTTTCAGACTTACAGTACTGAAGGTCTCTTACCTTTAACTGTTATATTGAGAGGATCATCACAAGCTGTTGCTTTGAACAGCTTGTTCTCAATCCTGAAGAAGTATCTGTCTGTATAACTGGTCTTTAAATCAGGAAACAGAGTGGTGCAGTTGTTCTCTCTCAGGTTTCCAGTAATATTCAGTGAATAGGTGTTAACTGACCCACTGCTGTTGAAAATAACTATCTTTGGATCATCGCCAAAATTGTGAGCACCTTTCATCCAAACTCCATAGATAGTTCTGCTGCTGTCATATCTGGTACCTTCTGTATCATAGATACATGGGATTTCCAAACAAGATCCATTCAGAGCTTCAATCTTCTTTGGTGCAGTGATTCTGAGGCCTGGTTTTATACCAACACCACAATCAGCCAAAGTAGCTGTAAAAATAGACAAATGATGAACATGATGTGGAGCAAAATCTGCCTGCTTAGAATCTTCATGATCCACAAACTCAAGTCCAGCTGCATGTTGCATGTGGAGCCTTTAAACAACATCAGGATCTAATATTTCTAAATAAGGATGTGAACAATCAGCTCACCTGGAAGAAAGAAGACACTCAGTAACATGTTGACTGTCAGCAGGTTCTCAGACAGAGCTGCCATCAGATTCAAACTGTGGAAAGCAAACATTTAGCTGATTTATTACCGTGGACCTGAAATTAGACCTTCAGCTCGTAGCAAGCAGCTTTCAATGTGCTGTAAATATTTAAACTTAAATATTAAAAAGCCTGTTGAAATGTTTGGTTAAATAATCAGAGTCAGAAATGTGAACTCACCAGAATTTCTGCAGTAAAACAAAAAACAGTTTAGTTTTCAAACCAGTTGATCTGTTCAGATCAGTTGATCAGCAGCAGAATAAGCAGCAGCCTTTTCTGTTACTAGATGTGTTATTTAAAGGAGTCTCCATCCTCTTTGCTCTGTGAAGGGGAAGTCTAATTGTTTTAAAAAAAGTGTGATTTAACTTACAGCTCATAGCCATTTTCTGAGTATAACTGCTTCTTCCTTATTTTCTAAGCTTTATTTACCTATGATATCACAAAATATAAAAATACCAAACTAAAAAAGAGGCACAGCTGATGGTAGGTCTCCATCATTAATGCTTTGTAAAGAGGAAGTCAGCTCTTTCTCACCACTGCATAAAGTCATCTCATGAAGGGTGTTTTAACACAAAGCTAAAAACCATTTACTAAATATGATAAAAGCTGATTATTTTTCATCGCACAGCTGCCTCAATCAATGCTAGATCACAAAATCAGAAAATACCAAAAAGAACCTGGAAAATAAACATATTTACCTTTTAACATATAAGGGCATCAGTTCCTGTTCTCAATAAGAACCTCCTGCAGAATAAAAAAAAAACCTTAAGCTTTAACTTCTTGTTTTTACTTCAGTTTCTCAGGTTTTTCTCTGCACTCAAACAGCCGTCACTGCAAGTCTTAACATTTCTCTTTATTTGTATATGGGAGGAAATTGAAAAAAGAAGAAATGCTTTGTTGCTATACAATTATAGTTACCTTGACAACTACAATTTAAGGGTTTCCATAAGTACTTCTACTCCAAAGTCACTTGTTTGTATAATCAGTAATAATCCTGCTCACTTTAATTCTTTACTATATATTTTTTCTTTTTTTTGTCATTTAGACTTTGCTCTTAATGTTCAAAGACTTCTGTGGATTTTCTACTAAAATCTGATGTTCTCTGAAATCAAGAATAATGTGCACAAAACAATCCAGATGTATTGAACAGTGCATAGCCATGCATGCAGGTGTAACAGACCCTGTGTAGGTACCAGATCTGCTGCCCTGCCCTAAGATCTTAATAAAAAAATAAATAAAAAGTAACTGAGACTTTTTGTGTCACCTTGTTAAATGGCAGAGCTCAGTCTGTCTCAGAAGACAGTACTTTCCTTCAAGACTGACAATGATTGTTTTTAGTTTTGGCTACTTTAGATCATCAATGAAATTTGAAATAATAGCAAATATGAGTAATAATATGTTGAGACTCCAAAAGAGATTTGATCCTTAAGAAACGTCATAAGAAGGGGCAGATCTGAGCAGATCTGGTTCCTACACCGGGCTTTGGGCCTGTTAGGCAGATTAAATGTTCCTGTAAAACAGGAGAATGAATGAGACAGGCAACAGCAATATTGAAGAAGGAGAGCCTATGACCTCACTATACCGTGTCATGGAGCAATGTGCCACCTTCTGGTGTGAAGGTGCAACTACAACTCAAACAAATTATTACCTAAAGCCAATCTTTGTCTTAAAATCAAACAAATAATAATGGGAATACATATTAGTGTGTCACACAGGCATGTTGAGTATTTTTGCTGATGCTCTTGTTGACTTCCTACTGTGGGTGTAGATCTATACAGATAATCAATCAATCAATCTTTATTTCAGACACAAAAGAGGTCCATAGTAGAAACAAATGTCAATAAAAGGCCACAGGCTACTCTAGGGAGCATTGCACTCAGGTTAAATGTAATTGAAGGCTGCATATTTTTTCATCTGTTTGTTACTGGTGTTTGTAGCCATTTAAAGATGGCATTGCCAACAGGTTAGGGGCCCAGAAAGCAGTTTGGAAGCTAACTTAATTGTTTATGCCTTGATGAAGATGAAAATAATCATGAGCTGTGAGAAACTACATTTTTGACCCACCATGTTTGCTTGTATTAAAAAGACAACATTTGTAGAAATTGAAGTCCTACCTGTCCCCTATACACCTATACAGTTGCACATAGAAGCTTAATTTAGCCTGAGACCCAGCACTGCATGTCCTGAGCCTGTAACAAAATCAATGACCCCTCACACCCCCACTATGGACTGTTCTCCCTGCTGCCCTCTGGGAAGAGGCTTCGCAGCATTAGATGCAGGTCAAGTAGATTCTGCAACAAGCTTCTTCCCCACCGCCATCAGACAGCTGAACTGTTTAAAAAAAACTCTAAAATCATGTCACAGAATCTGCATCACACTGATAACACCAAACCAAAATACTGCATATTTGAACCATATATATAAATACTCTGAACTTCCATATCAATGCACTTTTGCAGCATGTCTTTTCTCCCACACTGTTTAGTGTACAAAACGTAATTTAGTTTTGTAAACACTCTGTGTATACAAAATAACACTAAGTCATTTTTACCCTTTATTCACATAAAGTATTTTTACAGAACATTCTTTGTTCAAATTTACTTGAATATAATTACAATTTTAATTGGAAAAAATCGAATTGATTTTATCCTGGACAAAATAAATTTCAAATATCATGGAAAACTATCATATGCTTCTGTAATATCACATTTAGAGTAACATTAATAACATTATTCCAGTTCTGCTAATCAAGCATTATTTACAGCAATATGATCCTCTAAAGTATTACATTTTATTTTCTAACACATGCACAGTCAAAATTAACAGAAAGCAATAATTAATGACTTCATGACCCAATGGTTGGTCCTGTGATGAACTAGTGAGCTGTCCAGGTGGGCCTCCTCTTCTGGCCTGATGACGGCTGCAGACAGACACCAGTTCCTGCTGTAAGCTTGAAGTTTCATTGGATTGATGGATGAAGAACAGAGACCCTTTAACTAAGGATTATACATCCTGCTTGTCCCCTTGAGGTTCATGATGCCTGAACCTCCATCACTCTGTTGACATCATCTGCTTCATCTGTGTCCTTTAGAAATTAGACAATGTAGAATTATTGTCAGGCTAATTTCTCTTTAGTCTCTCTGTTTTTCCTCTCAATCCCTTCAATAAAGTTTTAAACACTATATTACAAACAGCAGCAGTGAATCAGCTCCTGTGGACATCATGCTCCTCTGACGAACAGTTAGAAAGTTTCTGAAGGACATTTCTTTCATTACTCAGCCCACTTTACAGCAGCATCATTTTTAGCTTCTCTTCTTGTCAAATATGAAATTTATCAACCATACATTCAAATTATTGTTTCAGGAAATCAAACATTATTATTTGCTTTGCTAATGATGAAAATTTGGCTTTAACCAATATTGTAACTTTAAATGTATGAATAAAATTGAAATAAAAGTCTCCAATTTCTGTTTCAAGCATGTTGAATCAGTTTCATACACTGAATATAAACAAGCTTACCTTTGTTGCTTGTTTGTTGGATAATCTAAACCAGCTGAAAGAATAAAAATAACGTGAACAAACATGAAGCAGAGACCAGCAGGTCTGCAGCTCAAAGAATCAACTCATAGAAAAATGAGTCTCACCACTGAAAGATGCAGACTGCACTGCAGAGCATTATGATCCCCAGGATCTTCAATATAACACAGAGACTGACTCCTGGTACTGGATTATAAAAAGTAAATAAGTAAATAATCATGAAACACTGAGAGAGCAACTGAGACTCAGTGATTGGTCAAAATTGAAATATGTTTAGCCTAAAATACTTGATAAATGAATGATTCAGTTCAACAACTCAACTTTTGAACTGTATTCTTTGTTTAACACAAAAGGCCCTTAGATTAGATCAATTTAACTATTTAGGCATATAAATGTGGATTAATTAAAAACCAAGAGTTGAAATGTACCTTCAGTATTAAGTAGAATCACAGATGATCTCTGATTCCCCAGATCATTTGTAGCCTCACAGTAATACTCTCCTTTCTCAGGGACTCTTAAGCTGTAAAAATCCCCTGTAGCTACTTTTCTGGCTCCTTCTGTGCTGTTCCTGAACCAGGTGAAGCTGGCAGGAGGCTTGGCTCTGCTGGAGCAGCTCAGCTCCACCCAGCTACCTGCTGACACCAAACCTGATGGACTGATGGATGCTGAGGTGTCTTTAGGAGCATCTGAGGAAAATGGGACACACATTAACTTTATTGATCAGAAACAGCTGAACCATGACGTGCTGACAGGATCACTAACATGAAACACTGAGAGTCACTTCTGTCTCTGCTGTCTTGCTTCCTCCATTCACAGGATATCTGGCAGAACAGCTGATGTTGTATCCATCATGTGTGTCTGACAGAGTGATGGTCTCCTGGATTTTAGTTGTAAAGGTTCCATCTGGGTTTTTCTCTGTTTGTCTCTCAGAGTCTTGTTGGAGATTCCAGGTGAGTTCAGGAGGTGAGTGTGGACAGGGAGTCACAGCTGAGCAGCTTATAGTGACAGACTGATGCCCCTTCAGATCACCAACAGGGATATTAATGCTGGGACTCCAAGGAATATCTGGAAGTTTAGATCAGACAAACATTTTACCAATAAAAACAGATCATTAGGAACAGACAAGGTTGTTTTAATTTTAAACCAACTTTGTGTCCAGACATAGACCACAAAAGTTATTTCCAGCTAAAGAAAAAGGTGTGAAAGCATAAGCTTCAAAGAACCAATAGACAACAGCTTCCCCCAATAAAACTCTTCCTGTCACTCATGCCACATTTAAAGAAAAAAAAGATTGTCCCTTCATTCATACTCAAAACATCTTTTTATTTCATTTATTTTAATTTTTGTTAAATTTGTGGAAATTATTTCCACCATTTTCATTGACAATAAGAAAAAGAAAAGCAGGAGGAAAGTGTATTGTGTTGCTTACTGGAAAGCGGCCAATTAGACTTCAGGATTTCTATGGAAGAAGTCCTAATCCCCCAAACAAATAGCCTGATAAACCAGACTAAATGTGAGATTAAATGTGTCATTTAGTCTGGCCCCGATGAATGAGACATCAGAAGATTTTTTATGAAAACAACCCATTGTTTTTCAAACCATGTCTGTGCCTATTGGCCAACGCTCTGACCAATGAGCGTAATTGACTGTGACGTAGGAAGCGCGACAGAAAGCTGGTGGGGGAGTGTAAACAAACAGCCTGTTGGTAAAACGGCGAATACGTCCTTCTCAAAAATGAATGAGTGTAGAGCCCCTTCCTGCTCACGTTTCAACGAAAACCCCAAGTCTAATTTTTCCAAAACTGATTCCAAAGCTGAGTCAAAAATCGCGATCAGAGCCAGTGGTCCTTCAGAGAGAGGGCTGCTGCAGACGGGCTGCGGTTAGCATTGGCTGCCGTTAACCTCAGAGCTCCGCTGGTTGCCGCGGGGCTCTCAACTTTGGAAATAGTTTTTTAAATTACTCTTTATATCGGTAAATGGATCATATAGTGACACTTTAAAGTATAATATTCTTGCCTCAAATGATCTTAAGATGTAGTTTTATGGAACAACAGCAATAGAAAAGAGAACTTTTAACTTTCAATGGAGCGCTCCATTAAAAGCTGCTGCTGCCGCAGTGCATGCTACTGTTCAATAGTTGTTGCCATCTTGCTTGTTGTGCTTTCTCCAGCGTCGTGCAGCTTTGTCGTCATGCCCTCAAAACCCCGCCCACTTTGCATCCAAAAATTCAAAACAAATCTTTGCCTTGTGATTGGCCCGCCAGTTCTAGGGCCTGGGGCATTGATCGAGGCTAGACCAAACTCACAGGCAGAAATGAAGTGACAATTATGATCAAATGCCCCCCCCCCCAAAAAAAAAAAAAAAAAGGTAAAAACAGAGTTAATTTTTCTGAACATTACTTTCACAAAACGCTAATACTGAAGCTCTCTTACCTTTAACTGTTATATTAAGAGGATCTTCACAGGCTGTTGCTTTAAACTTCTCGTTCTCAACCCTGAAGAAGTATCTGTCTGTATAACTGGTATTTACATCAGGAAACAGAGTGGTGCAGTTTTTCTCTCTCAGGTTTCCAGTAATAGTCAATGGATAGGTGTTAACTGACCCACTGCTGTGGAAAATAACAGGACTTGGATTGCCATTAATTTTTTGCTTCATCCAAACTCCATAGATAGTTTTGCTGCTGTCAAATAATTTATTTTCTGTATTAAAGCTGCATGGGATTTCCAAACAAGATCCACTCAGAGCTTTGATCTTTTTCGGTGTAGTGATTCTGATGCCTGATTTTGTATCACAAATATCAGCCAAAGTACCTGTAGAAACAGACAAATGATGAACATGATGTGGAGCAAAATCTGTCTGCAGAGAAACTTCATGATCCACAAACTCCAGTTCAGCTTTAGCTTTTTACGTGTTGAGCATTTAAATAAGGTCAACATCTAATATTTCAGAATAGAAATGATTAATTTATTGTCTTTAAAAGAGGAAGTGAACAAACAGCTCACCTGGAAGAAAGAAGACACTCAGTATCATGTTGACTGCCAGCAGGTTCTCAGACAGAGCTGCCATCAGATTCAGACTCTAAAAAAATTTTTAGCTCATTTATAACAGTAGGTCTGAAATTAGATATTTAGCTCATAGCAAAAAGCTTCAAATTGACCGCAATTATTTACATGTAAATATCAAAGCATGTTGAAGTATTTGTTAAATAATCAGAGTCAGGGATGTAGACTTACCAGAAACGTTGCATTTAAAACAAAAACAGTTTAGTTTTCAAACCAGTTGATCTGTTCAGATCAGTTGATCAGCAGCAGAATAAACAGCAGCCTTCTCTGTTACTAGATGTGTTAAGTCTCCATCCTTTTTGCTGTGTGAAGAGGAAGTCTATCTAATGTTTTCAAAAATTAGTCGTCTCATTAAGTGCAATTTAACTCACAGCTCAGAGCCATTGTCTAAGTATAACTGCTTCTTCCTCTTTTCTCAGCTTTGTTTACCTATGATATCACAAAATATGAAAATGCCGACCTTAAAACAGGCAGAGCTGTCATTTACACCTTAGAGCTGTTGGTCACTTTGAGTTTTTGTTTCTAGTTTCCATACTCCAAAATATAAAGCGGTTCCATAGTACTCAGAATAAAACATTTGAAATTAAAATAAATGTAACATTTATAAATAAATATTCATTTTTTAATCTATCGATGTTTATAATATGATAAGATTTCTGTCAGGTTTTTGGGGTTCTTGGATCATCTGTTGCGCTTATCTCACAGGTGCTGCACTTTAGGAAAAACTTTTGTATATTGTGGTATAAATATGGACAAAATAGGGGACAATTAATTAATTCATTTTTTTTTAATAATCTTTGTAAAAAAAATAAAACTTTCTTATAATGTGTTGAAGGAAATGATAAAACATTTAGATGGAAAAGTAATATGATGTAGAGATTTCAATAGGGGATTTTAGGACAGATGAAAATGGAATTTTTAATTTAGATTCAGTTTTACAAAAGAGAGATTCGAGTTGATTTTGGAAGTGGTGTTTTTACAAAAGTTTGTGACTGTGACGTGATAGCTTCCCTGTCAGACGAGGAAATTTACACTTTAATTAAGCAGGGGGCGATGCAAGAATAGGGAGGAGAACAATGGAAACCAAGCAAGGAAGCGTAACCTGGGGGAGAGTAGGTTCAGATGAAAACAGTTGTGTTACATGTAGACATCCTAATGTTCTCCTTAGATTTAATGAGAATGATCACAAAAGTAAGCTCGGTGGCATTGTCAAAGGAGTTAAACATAAAGTTGGGGGATATGATTTTAGTTAAAGTTGTCAAAGATGGCAGTTTCCTGATTTTTTGTACTTGAGAAGAACAGAAAATAAAAGTAATGTATTTGGATCAAATCATTAAGGCTTTCTGTGTGTGAAGGGAGAAATGCTGGGGGAAAGAGGGCAGCTTGTGAAGTTATCACTGGTACTCTTTTGGATGAAAATTTAGAAAGATTTGAATAATGGCTGGTGGGAGGATAAATGAAGGGAAAAGATTGAGAAAGCCTGTTGATGACCCTAAGTGTTAAAATACAATGGTACCTTTATTAGCTTATAATTAGTTAGTTAATTAATATGAGTTATCTGATAAATCAAACTCTTACCAAATCCAGTTAAGTGGACTATGCTACCATCTTTCCATTCACAAAGGCAAAAATTGTGTGCTTTTGCACTGAAAAAATAAAAATAGAAATCGAGGATATTTCAGCTAAAACCTCCATAGCCATGTTTGTTTTGCTTCTGCCTTTCGCCTGGTGATGTCATAGGTCACTGCATTTGATTGATGCAAAACATTTCTGTATCGAGATAGACATATCTGGTGGCTCCTGGCATGATGTTAATCCTGCTTGCAGGGTAAAGTTCATTGATCCGGGATGAAAAATTTGCTGAAAGTTCCTTATAACTTTCCTTATAACAACACAAGGGCCTGATAACATACCTGGGCGTGTGTTCAAAGAGTGTGCAGATAAACTGGCTGGTGTCCCCACAGACACTTAACACTTCGCTGTACCGATCCGTAGTGCCAGCATGCTTCAAGTCTGCCACCATTATTCCAGACCCAAAGAAGCCTCAGGTCAACTCACTCAATGATTACTGGCCTGTCGCACTGACTCCAATCATGATGAAGGGCTTTGAAAGGCTGGTTAAAGAACACATCGTCTCCAGTTTGCCACCAACATTTGACCCGTTCCAGTTCGCCTACCGACGGCACAATTCCACTGAGGACGCCATCTCTGCTTCTCTCCATCTGAGCCTGGCACATCTGGAGGAGAAGAACATCCACGTGCAGATGCTGTTCCTGGACTTCAGTTCAGCTTTCAGCACCATCATCCCACAGCATCTGATGGGCAAACTGGAACAGCTGGGCTTCAATAATCCCCTCTGCAATTGGCTGCTAGACTTCCTCACCAACAGACCTCAGTCAGTCTGGGTCGGACAGAACACCTCTGATGTCATCACCCTAAGCACAGCCCGGTCCTGGAATCTACTATATAATCCACAAAATTATTGTATTTTATTTTCTAACACATGCACTGTTAATGCAAAGTTAACAAAATCAATAAGTAATGACTTCATGACACAATGAAGTCATTACTTCATTTTGTCTGGTTTCTTCTGTCAGGTTGTGTGTAGGCTTTGAGGACCAAATGCAGAGAGGAGTAGGCACAGACAGTGGGGGAGCTAGATGGGGGGCCAGAGGTGGCCATGACCACCCTTAGCCAATCATTGGCCACCCATGTGGCCACCCCTACCGTTTTTCCCCCTCTTATACAGGTGGTGGCAGCAGTAATACTCTCAAGTATAATATTTAAAACATTTTATTTTTTTGTGGTTTATTATACATATCAATATACTAACATCAAAGATGATAATTACATAATTCATGCTCTTTTCAGAACTAGATTTTGTGTTATATGGTATAAAGAGAAAATGATGTGTCTCTTGATGATTAGAAAACCCTTGTGCAATCATGTTCACACATCTGAAAACAGTTTAGCTCAGCACAGAAGCTACAAAACTGACCTTCCTTTGAGCAGATTGAGTTTCTGGAGCATTACATTTGTGGGGTCAATTAAACGTTAAAATGGCCAGAAAAAGAGAACTTTTTATCTGAAACTTGACAGTCTATTCTAGTTCTTAGAAATGAAGGCTATTCCATAGGAGAAATTGCTAAGGAATTGAAGATTTCCTTTGAGGCGTCTGTTTCTCAAACTAGAAACTCTAATGTACTTATCTTCTTGCTCAGTTGTGCAACGCGGCCTACCACTTGTTTTTCTTCTCTGGTTAGAGCCTGTTTAAAGTTAAGACTAGTTTAAAGTTATTTGCATTGAAAAGTACAATGCTATTCCTTAAAATATAAGGACATTTCAATGTGACCCCAAACTTTTGAATGGTAGTGTATATGTGTCTATTTGTTGGCAAAGGCTTTAGGAAAGTATAGTTAGTCTTTTTTTAGATAATATGGATGTTGTGCTCATTAATGTTCCTGCTGGAAAAGTGTAGATTGACCGTGAGGTTCTGGTGCCAATGCGCTTTCGGCCCCCCCTCAGTGTACATTGGTTGTTGCCAGGCCACCCTTGTTAAAATTTCTGGCTACGCCTCTGGGAACAGATGAGTTTTTGATGATTTAATGAAAGTCCATGGGGAAAAGCGGCAAAATTCCAAAATACAAATATACTGAAAGCCAAACAAAAGCCAATAAACATGAGCGAAAATACTCAAAACAAGCAAGAGACTAGAAAGCAACGAAACAACATCAAACACAAAAAACCAGACCTGCTTGAAGGCTCTGCTGCTCTTTTTAGCCAAGCACTATGAGGAGAAAGATTATCTTCACCTGTATATGCTACCCAGGTTCTCCACAAAGATCTGGAAGAGATGCATAACTCGCACTCACTCACGAACAGGAACCCTGACCAAACATCTGCCAACGTTTAACTGACTAACCCTCTGAGTACTATGGCGTTTTGCTGTTGCCTGGTCTGGTTTGTGGCCTAAATCTAAATTCTCATCTCTGTGAGCTTGCTGGCTTAGTTATTTGGCCTCTGTTTTATTTACAGACACACTATAGGCTCATTAAATGCTGGATCAATCCTTGTCTAATTGTTCTTTAAAAATAAAACTAAACAAAATAATATTTAAAAAAAACTAGCATCATTTCCCGTTTAAGAGTAGCATTATTAAGTAGTTGTAGCCAGCTGATAGCTATCTTATTTCACTCAACAGGTTGATAATCTTTCGTTAATTTGAACTCTTCAGGTAACAAACCTTTCTGAAAAACAGGGTCACTTTCTTCCTCTTTCTCCTTCCTTTTTAGTTCAAAAACTACATTCTCTCATTTCAGAACACATCAGTGAATGAAGTTATTGCTTCTTTACTTGTGCATAGAGATCCTCTGGATGGTCAGTAGACACTTGAACCTGAGCGTACTCTGTCTCCTGCTGTCCACCGTCCTGCACTGAGACAGAGGAAGCTTCAGGTCGTTTCTGGAGGACAGTTATGTCCTCATAATGAAGTTCTTCCTCTGTTTCATTGGCTGCAATATGATCAGAAACCTCCTGATATGTTTGACTCTGTGGGAAAATGAAATTGTTCTTGTTTCAGGAAAATACTGTTTCAGCTTGCAGAGGAAAACTTACTTCAGTGATGCTCACAGAACATTTCCTCACCTGGGTCTGATCTGGAGTTGGACATTTGGTCTTAAGGCACCTGAAAGACATTTGAGATCTGTAAAAATAAATCTGCTGTGATTCAGGAGAAAACAGAAAGAACCAGACTGAGAGAGTCAAGAATGAGCCGAAACAGACATGAGAGGATTAACAACAAAACAACCAGAACCAGAATCAGCTGAACACAACCTAAATAAGGAGCTGGTTCAGATGTTTATCTGGAGGGTTAATAAAAACCTCACTATAATTAACTAAATGTAGTTTGTTATTTTTATGTCTGACACTTACCAGAGACAAAGAACCAGAATGATGAACAAAATGACTCCAACTATGACTGTGACCAAGAGAGGAGTTCCTTTAGCTAAATCAGAGAGAAACAAAGTATTAAAATGACAACAAATGTAACAAAATGAAAGAAATAAAGGCTGTTAAATTGATTCTTGATACCTTCACTGTTCAGTAGAACCACTGATGATCTCTGAGTCCCCAGATCATTGGTGGCCTCACAGTAATACTCTCCTCCTTCAGTAACATTGAAGCTGTAAACCTGCCCCACAGATACATTAATGGCTCCATGTTTGCTGTTCCTGAACCAGGTGAAGCTGGCAGGAGGCTTGGCTCTGCTGGAGCAGCTCAGCTCCACCCAGCTACCTGCTGACACCAAACCTGATGGACTGATGGATGCTGAGGTGTCTTTAGGAGCATCTGAGGAAAATGGGACACACATTAACTTTATTGATCAGAAACAGCTGAACCATGACGTGCTGACAGGATCACTTACATGAAACACTGAGAGTCACTTCTGTCTCTGCTGTCTTGCTTCCTCCATTCACAGGATATCTGGCAGAACAGCTGATGTTGTATCCATCATGTGTGTCTGACAGAGTGATGGTCTCCTGGATTTTAGTTGTAAAGGTTCCATCTGGGTTTTTCTCTGTTTGTCTCTCAGAGTCTTGTTGGAGATTCCAGGTGAGTTCAGGAGGTGAGTGTGGACAGGGAGTCACAGCTGAGCAGCTTATAGTGACAGACTGATGCTCCTTCAGATCACCAACAGGGATATTAATGCTGGGACTCCAAGGAGAATCTGGAAGTTTAGATCAGAAAAACAGATGTGTTTAACAGCGGACTGCTAGTAAGTTAAGCTGTTTATATATCATCTATTTTATGACACAGAAGAAATAAAAAAATATTTATTAACTGATTGTGTCAAAATGTTGGCAGTATTTGATTTAATGGTCTTTTAACTTTGTCTAATTAGATCATTTGGTTTACTTCTTTAAACAGAGTCAAGCTAAACAAAATCTACCGCATTCATCTTTTTGATACATTCTTTTCCCTATAAAAAGTTTTCATTCATTCATGAGGTTTGATTAAACACTACATCACACATAAGTGTGTTTTCTGTTCATTTCTATTAAACCAGTGCGAGTTTTTCTTAACAATCATGTCATAGACTGATAATACTGAAATTCTCTTACCTTTAACTATAATATTGAGAGGATCATCCCAAGCTGTTGCTTTGAACGGATCGTTCTCAATCCTGAAGAAGTATCTGTCTGTATAACTGGTCTTTATTTTAGGAAACAGAGTGGTGCAGTTTTTCTCTCTCAGGTTTCCAGTAATATTCAGTGAATAGGTGTTAACTGACCCACTGCTGTTGAAAATAACGATCTTTGGATCATCGCCAAAATTGTGAGCACCTTTCATCCAAACTCCATAGATAGTTCTGCTGCTGTCATATCTGGTACCTTCTGTATCATAGATACATGGGATTTCCAAACAAGATCCATTCAGAGCTTCAATCTTCCTTGGTGTAGTGATTTTGAGGCCTAGTTTTGTACCAACACCACAATAAGCCAAAGTAGCTGTAGAAATAGACAAATGATGAACATGATGTTGAACAAAATCTGCCTGCTTAGAATCCTCATGATCCATAAACTCCAGTTCAGCTGCTGCGTTTTACATGTGGAGCCTTTAAACAACATCAGGATCTAATGTTTCAGACAAACTGATACATCACACATCAAAATGATACATTTAAATGAAAGGAAGTGAACAATCAGCTGACCAAGAAGAAAGAAGACACTCAGTAACATGTTGACTGCAAGCAGGTTCTCAGACAGAGCTGCCATCAGATTCAGACTCTGGAAAACAAACATTTAGCTGATTTATTACAGTGGATCTTAAATTAGACCTTCAGCTCGTAGCAAACAGCTTTCAATGTGCTGTAAATATTTTAATTTAAATATGAAAAAGCCTGTTGAAATGTTTGGTTAAATAATCAGAGTCATAAATGTGAACTCACCAGAATTTCTTCAATAAAACAAAAAACAGTTTAGTTTTCAAACCAGTTGATCTGTTCAGATCAGTTGATCAGCAGCAGAATAAACAGCAGCCTTCTCTGTTACTAGATGTGTTATTTAAAGGCGTCTTCATCCTTCATGGTTTGTAAAGAGGAAGTCAGCTCTTTCTCACCACTGCATAAAGTCATCTCATGAAGGGTGTTTTAACACAGAGCTAAGAGCCATTAACTAAATAAGATAAAAGTTGATTATTTTTCATTGCACAGCAGCCTCAATCAATGCTAGATCACAAAATCTGAAAATACAAAAAAAATAATGGAAAATACACATATTTATCTTTTACCATATAAGGGCATCAGTGCCTGTTCTCAATTTGAACCTCCTGCAGAACCAAAAAAACCTTAAGCTTTAACTTCTCGTTTTTACTTCAGTTTCTCAGGTTTTTCTCTGCACTCAAACAGACATCACTTCCAGTCTTAACATTTCTGTATAAATCTTTGTTCAAGGTAGGAAATTGAAAAAAGAAGAAATGCTTTGTCGTTATACAATTATAGAGTTACCTTCACAACAACATTTTCAGAGTTTCCTTACTTCTACTCCCAAGTCACTTATTTAAATCATCAGTATAATTCGTGCAAACTTTAATCCTTACTGTGGATTTTCTACTAAAACCTGATGCTCTCTGACCTCAACAATATTTTGTGCACAAAACAATCCAGATGTATGTAACACTGTGTAGCTTTGCATGCAGGCATGTTGAATATTTTTGCTGATGCTCTTGTTGACTTCCTGCTGTGGGTGTAGATCGGTACAGATGGAAACAAATGTCAATAAAAGGCCACAGGTTACTCTAGGGAGCAATGCACTCAGGTTAAATGTAATTGAAGGCTGCATATTTTTTCATCTGTTTGTTACTGGAGTTCGTAGCCATTTAAAGATGGCATCTCCAACAGGTTAGGGGCCCAGAAAGGAGTTTGGAAGCCAATTTAATTTTTAATGCCTGGATGAAGATGAAAATAATTATGAACTGTGGGAAACTACATTTTTGGCCCAGTATGTTTGCTGATTTGAAGAGCACTGTATTATTGAAGGATGTACCCCCTAAAGATGGTGCCGCCGAAAATAAAGAGGTATATAAAGAACTACACTATATTGCCAAAAGTATTTGCTCACCTGCCTTGACTCACATATGAGCTTAAGTGACATCCCGTTCCTAATCCATAGGGTTCAATATGACGTCGGTCCACCCTTTGCAGCTAGAACAGCTTCAACTCTTCTGGGAAGGCTGTCCACAAGGTTTAGGAGTGTGTTTATGGGAATTTTTGACCATTCTTCCAGAAGCGCATTTGTGAGGTCGCACACTGATGTTGGACGAGAAGGCCTGGCTCTCAGTCTCCGCTCTAATTCATCCCAAAGGTGTTCTATCGGGTTGAGGTCAGGACTCTGTGCAGGCCAGTCAAGTTCATCCACACCAGACTCTGTCATCCATGTCTTTATGGACCTTGCTTTGTGCACTGGTGCACAGTCATGTTGGAAGAGGAAGGGGCCAGCTCCAAACTGTTCCCACAAAGTTGGGAGCATGGAATTGTCCAAAATGTCTTGGGATGCTGAAGCATTCAGAGTTCCTTTCACTGGAACTAAGGGGCCAAGCCCAGCTCCTGAAAAACAACCCCACACCATAATCCCCCCTCCAACAAACTTTACACTTGGCACAATGCAGTCAGACAAGTACCGTTCTCCTGGCAACCGCCAAACCCAGACCCGTCCATCAGATTGCCAGATGGAGAAGCGCGATTCGTCACTCCAGAGAACGCGTCTCCACTGCTCTAGAGTCCAGTGGCGGCGTGCTTTACACCACCGCATCCGACGCTTTGCATTGCACTTGGTGATGTATGGCTTGGATGCAGCTGCTCGACCATGGAAACCCATTCCATGAAGCTCTCTGCGCACTGTTCTTGAGCTAATCTGAAGGCCACATGAAGTTTGGAGGTCTGTAGTGATTGACTCTGCAGAAAGTTGGCGACCTCTTCGCACTATGCGCGTCAGCATCCGCTGACCCCGCTCCGTCAGTTTACGTGGCCTACCACTTCGTGGCTGAGTTGCTGTCGTTTCCAAACACTTCCATTTTCTTATAATACAGCTGACAGTTGACTGTGGAATATTTAGGAGCGAGGAAATTTCACGACTGGATTTGTTGCACAGGTGGCATCCTATCACAGTTCCACGCTGGAATTCACTGAGCTCCTGAGAGCGACCCATTCTTTCACAAATGTTTGTAAAAACAGTCTGCATGCCTAGGTGCTTGAATTTATACACCTGTGGCCATGGAAGTGATTGGAACACCTGATTCCAATAATTTGGATGGGTGAGCAAATACTTTTGGCAATATAGTGTAATTCATGTCGTGGATGAGTTTTTCCCTTGTCATGAGAGATACTGTGCGCGGAGTTGGCATCTCTTCTGAAAGGTGTCAAAGATAGCAACATTTACTATATCATCCTTGCAGAAACTGATATCACAGTGCTACGTAACACAGGAAAAGTTTTCAGTGATAGCCTGCTGTCTGCAATGATATATTACGTCATATTTAAAGAACCTTGAAAATTAAATATTTGGTCATGATGTGTTTTTGTTCTGCATTTTCTTTTATGGATGTGCTTCTTTGATTATAAAAAGTTTCACATTTGAATAAGGTAGTTTTTCCTCATATTAAAGGAAATATAGTTTTGAAAAAACAGCAAATCAGGATACAATGAACCAAGTTGAATGACCCCATGCAAAACTCTAATTGTATATTCACTGAACAACTGGAACAAATTCAGAGGCTCTGACAAGACTTTCCAGCTTTGTAAGATCTGCTGCAGTCATTCTGTCATTGACTAACAACAATGATGCTTAAAAATTAATGTGAGTTTTTTGTCTCAGGTTCCCTATGCAGATGACAAAGGTGTTTGCGTACACTGAGTGTCTTTTAATGAAAATATTGTTATTAGTCCACCATCAAATACTTTTTTGTTCACAAAGCTGTCAGCTCTAAAGTTGCCCAAACAAATATAACAATTTTTTTTTGTTGGAGGCTTGGTTCCAAAAACATAGTCCAACCATTTATAAAGAATTATGTCATCTTTTAAGATTAAAAGTAGGGCAGTCTCATTTATCTGAAAATGCATTTCCTCAAAGGTATTTTTATCAGAAAAGGACTTGGCTAAGAAGTATTAATATAGTAGTATAAGAACTCAGCAAAATGCTGATATACTAGGTATTTACTAAATGCTGCTGTTGATAGCCTGCAGGGGCTGTATGGAAGGAGTGTTCTCTGATTGTTAAGCTCGACTTGGAGACTGCTGCCCCATCCCAAATCTGCCTCTAAACACTAGCCCAACACACTAACCCTATGTTCCTGTGGACTGTCCCAAACCAGATAGTGGGTAGGGCAAGGGGACAGTTCAGCCCTCACTTTAAGAGGCTGCATCAGTGCAGACTGGATTTAGGCAGCAGGTACAATGGAGACCTAATGGCTGAAGAAAACACTTGGATTCAGATGTTAATTCACTGGTTTGCTGCGTCTTTGTCACACGGACAGAAAATCACAAGGTAGAAAGAGGAAAAAGTTTGAAGTAGTTGTATTTGACTGTAGGAATGTATTTTCAAGAAAAGGGTAAATGTTTGAATTCATGTTAGCCTAATAAGCAGCTTTTCATGTTTGGAAAATAATGGGACTGATGGATTCCTTGAATCAGTCAAACGATCCATTTAAAGTAGGGAGAGTAGGGAAAGTTGAAACATATTTAACACATCTCTATCAGATTTTTATCTATTATTTGTATTAAAAAGAAAATATTTGTAGAAATTGAATTCCTACCTGTCCCCTATACACCCATACAGTTTAACACAGAAGCTTAATTTAGCTCGGGACCCAGCGGGACCCATGTCACAGACTCTGCATCACAGTGATAACACCAAACCAAAATAATGCATATTTGAACCATATATATAAATGCTCTGAACTTCCATATCAATGTTTTTTGCACCATGTCTTTTCTCCCACACTGTTTACATTTGATCACTGCTGCAATTTATGGAATGGAAATGTTCTAAAAACGAAATTTAGTTTTGTATACAGTCTGTGTATACAAAATGACAATAAATAAAAAAAAAAGTCATGTTGACCCTTTATTTGCATAAAATATTTTAAATACTGTGTTCAGATTTATTTTAATTTGGTTACAAATTTATTTGGAAAAATTAAATTAATGATTTAATCCTGGACCAAAACAAGAATTTCAAATATCATGTAAAACTATCACATTTAGAGTAACATTAATAACATTATTCCAGTTCTGCTATTCAAGCATTATTTACAGCAATATGATCCACTAAAGTATTACATTTTATTTTCTAACACATGCACAGTCAAAATTAACAGAAAGCAATAATTAATGACTTCATGACCCAATGGTTGGTCCT